CACGGAGCTCCTGGGATTTGTACATTTCTGTTTTAATGTACGATTTTGTTTTTATAAATATAAATAAAGGGATGCACAGATACCAGTTTTGCGAGTACAAGTACTGATACTTGCCGAGTACTTACAAGTATGAGTACTGATACATTTTTGTTTATTGACATGTGACAGTTTTTCTAAAACAATACAGACTAATGATTTCAGGACAGTGGGGGAGTGCCAGAGCCAGGTCACAGCTGCAACCGCTGCAACACTGGTAGTTCTCATGAAAATGCCAAGTATCTGCACTGGTACTCAAAAAGTATCTGTGCATCCCTATCCAAAAGTAACACAAATCTCCAAGGAAGAATACCATTTGGCTGACATTCTTTTTGTGAATAAGCTAGACTACAATGTCTGACACAGAGGAAGCCTAAAAACAAGCACATTACTGCAGGCCAAAATACTGTTACATAATCTGCAAAACAAAATCTTAAAACATATGCTGTATTATGAGAACAGAAAAAGAGGTTCATGAGTTTACTCAAATGGAAAGAATCTGTTATGTAATAGCACTCTCATAAATGGAAAAAAAGATCACACATAGAATCTAATTTCTGATTCATTCTTTCATAAAATCTTAAAATAAAAAATAATAAAATAAACAGAACATAAAAATGGGAACTCAGTAAGCATATTTTATATCTGTCTAAAAATATGAAACATATTTGAAAAAATAACTATTTGTTTGCTAGTTTGTTTTGTATATTTAAAGAGAAGTGGGTATGTTGCGCTTGGTAAGTGAATCTATTTGGTTTTACTGTGAATAGTGAAAATAGTCACAGTATGGTTCCGTGGTGATTAGTCCAATGTGAAAAATTATTCTGCAAATATGTGAAGTGAATATAAAGTGCAGGATAAGGTGAGTGATGTCTGTGAAATAGTAAAAAAAAAAAAAAAGTGTGATGGCCTTTTGATAAAAATCCTAGTGAGTGATTGGTTCTTGTGTGTATCTATTAAAATCTACAACTCCAAGGTTCCGTCTAAACGAAATAGTGAAAGCTAGTTGTATTCGGCCATAAGGGAAAGTGGGAATGTGCAATAATATGAGCAAAAATATAATATATAAACAAAAATATATAAGCTCAAAATAGGTTTATTATTATATATAAAAAAAACTGCTCATATAAAAAAACTGCTCAGATAGGAAGTATTTACTGTGATAATCTGAGTGGCTCCGTTCCACTATTATCGATCCGGTATTGGTTATTTACCAGCTCACTGAGTGGATACATTTGCATGCTTTGTCCAATTGGTGTGTTGGTTTGGGTGGCTCCGCCCCACTGTTGCGGATTTTGTGGATGGGATTACACCAGTCTAACTTGTTGGGCAAGTTGAGGTTGGCTGCAACTAACGATCTAATTGCCTACTGTGTGCTACATTGAACACTTGCACTTATTGGGAGTTTATATTATATTTTTGCTTATATTTTGAGCTTATATATTTTTGTTTATATATTATATTTTTGCTCATATTATTGCACATTCCCACTTTCCCTTATGGCCGAATACAACTAGCTTTCACTATTTCGTTTAGACGGAACCTTGGAGTTGTAGATTTTAATAGATACACACAAGAACCAATCACTCACTAGGATTTTTATCAAAAGGCCATCACACTTTTTTTTTTTTTTTACTATTTCACAGACATCACTCACCTTATCCTGCACTTTATATTCACTTCACATATTTGCAGAATAATTTTTCACATTGGACTAATCACCACGGAACCATACTGTGACTATTTTCACTATTCACAGTAAAACCAAATAGATTCACTTACCAAGCGCAACATACCCACTTCTCTTTAAAGCACTTAAACACACATTGTTGCGGCTGGTGTTTTAAATTTGACTCCTAGCGCAAACTAAGTTGTTTTGAATGTTTTGTATATTTGTTGGTATTTTGTCAGGTTGGTCTGCAAATTCCAGAGTTGGTCAGGTTTTTCCTAAGTTTAGGAAGCAAAGTAATGTGGGCCTCTAAAGCTTGGGTTGGAAAGGGCATGTGTGCTTAACTAAATTGCTAAATAAAAAAAAGGAAAGAAGATCCATAAAGGTTATTTAGTATGTATGGTGTGAAGCCATCCGGCCCAGGCCAAGAAGGGAAAGACAAACGACCAAGAAGAAAGGGTAATTTCCTAATAAAGGAGTACATTTTACATCTCCATGCTTTGGGCTGAAAGAAGGACCAAAATGTTTCAACGACAGATAATGTGAAGTCTACTTTACCACCCTTGTGAATTTTGTGAATTTTAAAAGGAGGGATTGGAGAAAGGTTTTAGAAAGGCAGCTGCATTTGAAATGTTTGTCAGTTTTGTCACTTTTCTGTGCAGTAAATGTACATTGGATGCAATACATTTGATTTTAGTTTGTTAGTGTAAAGCTTGTATATCAGTGTACATTTGCTGTCCCCTTAAAATACCTCAACACACAGCCATTAATGTCTGAACCGCTGGCAACAAAAGTGAATACACCCCTAAGTGAAAATGTCCAAATTGGGCCCAAAGTGTCAATCATTTGTGTGGCCACCATTATTTTCCAGCACTGCCTTAACCCTCTTGGGCATGGACTTCACCAGAGCTGCACAGGTTGCCACTGGAGTCCTCTTCCACTCCTCCATGACGACATCACGGATCTTGTGGATGTTAGAGACTTTGCGCTCCTCCACCTTCCGTTTGAGGGTGCCCCCCAGATGCTCAATATGGTTTAGGTCTGGAGACATGCTTAGCCAGTCCATCACCTTTACCCTCAGCTTCTTTAGCAAGGCAGAGGTCGTCTTGTAGGTGTGTTTGGGGTGGTTATCATGTTGGACTACTGCCCTGCGGCCCAGTCTCTGAAGGGAGGGGATCATGCTCTGCTTCAGTATGTCACAGTACATGTTGGCATTTATGGTTCCCTCAATGAACTGTAGCTCCCCAGTGCCGGCAGCACTCATGCAGCACCAGACCATGACACTCCCACCACCATGCTTGACTGTAGGCAAGACACACTTGTCTTTGTACTCCTCTCCTGGTTGCCGCCACACACGCTTGACACCGTCTGAACCAAATAAATTTATCTTGGTCTTATCAGACCACAGGACATGGTTCCAGTAATCCATGTCCTTAGTCTGCTTGTCTTCAGCAAACTGTTTGCAGGCTTTCTTGTGCATCATCTTTAGAAGAGGCTTTCTTCTGGGACGACAGCCATGCAGACCAATTTGATGCAGTGTGTGGCGTATGGTCTGAGCACTGACAGGCTGACCCCCCACCCCTTCAACCTTTGCTCCAATGCTGGCAGCACTCATACGTCTATTTCACAAAGTCAACCTCTGGATATGACGCTGAGCACATGCACTCAACTTCTTTGGTCGACCATGGCGAGGCCTGTTCTGAGTGGAACCTGTCCTGTTAAACCACTGTATGGTCTTGGCCACCGTGCTGCAGCTCAGTTTCAGGGTCTTGGAAATCTTTTTGTAGCCTAGGCCATCGTTATGTAGAGCAACAATTCTTTTTTTTCAGATCCTCAGATAGTTCTTTGCCATGAGGTGCCATGTTGAACTTCCAGTGACCAGTATGAGAGAGTGAGAGCAATAACACCAAAACACACCTGCTCCCCATTCACACCTGAAACCTTGTAACACTAACGAGTCACATGACACTAGGGAGGGAAAATGGCTAATTGGGCCCAATTTGGACATTTTCACTTAGGGGTGTACAAACTTTTGTTGCCAGCGGTTTATACATTAATGGCTTTGTGTTGAGTTATTTTGAGGGGACAGCAAATGTACACTGATATACAAGCTGTACACTCACAACTTTACATTGTAGAAAAGTGTAATTGCTTCAGTGTCGTCACGTGAAATTATATAATAAACTATTTACAAAAATGTGAGGGGTATACTCCTTAATCCTTTATTATGCCCTCTAGCATTTTACAAACTACCGATGTTAGACTGACCGGCCTATAGTTGTATAGTAGTGTTTTCCTTAAGTATATTTAATCGTCATAAAATCCTGTGTTGTCTAGTCATTCCATGTAAAACAATGGAAGCTTGAGTTTCAGCTTGCTTTTCTCATACATCTGGCTGTGAGATTTTCAGATTCTCACTCAATTGGTAAACTTAAAACAATATCTGTTGTCTCAGTCAGGTTTTATTGGCTGTACGTTGAATAAATAGGTTTCACTTAGGCCTTTTTGATCAATGACTTGAGTTGATTTTCTCATCTTGAAGAATTTTTATTCCTGAAAGAGTCAAGGAATAAGGAAGTAATCTATTCAGGTGGTGTCATTTGAATCTCAATACAATGGAGTGCTAGTCTAATGTTTGGTCATGATCTGCTTACTCTATGGGAAAAACGCTGAGGGGTCTATTCACTAAGCTGCCGAGGGCAGCCGAGTGAATGACCGATCACAAGTGAACTGAGCCGAACACTGTTCGGCTATTCACTTCAGGCTGGCACGGCTGATTTCAGCCGTACATCGGCTGAAATCAGCCGTACATCGGCTTGCTTCGTGTGGCTTCGGGTCGGCCGAACATGCTCAGCATGTTCGGCTGACCCGAGGTGCAGAAGGAGTTCAAATCAGCCGATCCAACCTCTGGATCGTTATTGTGAATAGCCCGTACAGCACCCCCTCGGTTCTCCTGAACCGAAGGGGTCCTGGGGCCGAAGCTAGCCGAAGGATCGGCCGAAGCTACGGCCAGATCCTTCGGCAGCTTTGTGAATAGACCCCTGAGTTGTACATCTGACAGCCATTGTGTTCACTCTTTAGGCCTAGTCAGCTTGTATGATAGGAAATTTGTATTGTAATATAAAGCAGTTTGTTATGAAATTAATTCCATTTTAAGAAAAGACCTGACAATATCATGCCATATTATAACAGCTAAAGCAATTATTAAAGACAATACGGCTTTGCAAGCATTTAAGGTGGACAAAATACTCACATTCTATGTTACAAATATATGCATTTTTTTTTCTATTACAGGATTGCACTTAATTCAACAAAATGAGGGGATATGTGCTTTTCTACTTGCTGGCATTCTGCTCTGCTAAGCCATTTAAATTACCTCCAAAGTACATGGCATTAACTGACTTAATGCTGCAAGATATGGAAGATGATAGTGATGAAGATGATGACAACAACTCCCTGTTTAAAAATAAGTTTGCTTTTCAAGCTACTCCACCACCATTTGAAATATTTCCATCGTGCCCATTTGGATGCCAGTGTTTTTTAAGAGTGGTCCAGTGTTCTGACCTTGGTAAGACATAATAGCAATGTCTTGTTTTTTAATCAATTGTGAGCAGTACTTTTTTTTATTTTAATGTTAAGAGTACAATTAAACTGATTTGACAGGACTACATAAACATTTCTTCATGTTAAAGTCAGTAATACATTTCAAGTATTTAGGGCCTAATCTATCCAACTAATGAGTAGCCTAGTTGGCCAATTCTCACATGAGAATACATATGCATGCAAGTTGAAATCTCATTAGTATTCAGGTTCATGTGAATGTAATGGGGGTATTACATGCACCACTCAGTGTTAACCCATTTTATTCCGGGACAGCAGTAATAACACATTTTAGGGTGGTCGAAGACCAGATGGCTGAACTTTAGATTCCCCATACTCTTGGTCGCTGGGGGGATACTGAAGTAATCCAAACTGAGGCCTCCGAGAAGAAGAACCTGATTACTTCAACATGACAACCTCTAAAGTGTTCTTCCCCTCTCTTCCTCACAAACAGGATCTCCTCTTGAGAGATATCCCCATAATAAGAAAATGACCAGGCTGGAGGTCATTACTTAAACAAGTTTATTTTACTTAACAGGATGCAACCAACAAAAAACTGTAAACATTCAAAGCAGTTCCATCACAGGCAAGATGCTCTTCAATAGCATCATTGGGAGAACTCGGTGCCCACTACAAATATTGCAAATACAACATACTGTCTCTCTGCTTCATCAATTTAGAGTACCACTGCCACTCCATCCTTGTTCAACAGGGTGTGGTTCCTCGCTCCCCTGAAGGGTAAGCATCCTCACAGCTATGGGCTCTCTCAGAGAAATAAAGTCCCTCCTAATTCTCTATCTCTTGCCACCAACCAACCAGACTCTACCCTTCTGACCTATTATACAATGAAGTAAATAAGGAATATGGACAGAGAACCTGCCCAGCAACCTCAAGGTTGGACATTACCTTAAAAAAAGGCCCTTAACTAATGGAATTAAGGGTGAAACAAAGATGCCTGTGGAAATCAAGTAGTGTCAGTGAAAATTACAACATAATTCTAACTTGGGAAGTAGCAATGGAGCCCTAAAATCCTGTTACATGCATGCCAGATATACTTAGCACTTACTGTATATCATAAAACAATAGGCCGTGTGACTGAATTAGCCAATATCTATTTTCCTATTTCAGATCTGCCAAAGGCACCTGGACTATCATAGGTATCTAAAATGCAGCAAGGTCACTTTGCATCCAAATTGGAGATCACTCACAGAATGTCTATAGGCACTTTATTTCATGTCATCCAAAGTCATTGACATACTGCTAAATCATTTAATAAATTTAGCAAAAGTGAAAAGGTAATGATCTGCACAATGTAATGTTCAAAAGCAGAGAAGCTAACCCTGTGGGAGTTACCATGGGTGAGATTACAATTAAAGTGTATGTCTAGCAAAAACTTCTTTTTTGTTAATTTTGAATAAAGTGGGGAAGGATTCAACCCCCTGTCAGGTGTTTTGCTGCTGTCCAGGGTTCCATTAGAGATTTACCCTTACTTTCTGTCCTGCTGACAATGAAGAAGGGAGGATAACTCCTCAATATCAACACAGACAGAAATTAAAATGCTTTTCTTTAGTAAAGTGGGGTAAAGCTAAAACTTGTCAGATTTTTTTTTAGTATCCATGTTGCAGATTTTAGTGGTAGCAGTGATTAAACAAAATATACAGAAACATAGCATTGCATCTAAACATTTCAGCACAGAGGACAGGGAAAGTAGCATGAGGAACTGAGTGGTGTGCATAATCTCTTTAATGCCTGAAAATGAAAAAAAGGGACAGCTGCTTCTTTACATGACTAAAGATTTAAAATAAACACCTGTACACTTTATTTAACTTGACTCTGTAGTAAATTCTTGGGGTGGGGGTGTTTATAAAAACTGGAGCAGACACAATCTGGAGCAGTTGTCCTTGGCAACCAATCAGCTTCTCTCTTTAGTTTGTTCAGTTAAGATTTGAAAATGAAAGACAGAAGCTGATTGGTTGCCATGCACAGTTACTCCAGATTTTGTCTGCTCCAGTCTTGATAAATTCCCCTCTGTATGTCCCAGTTTTACTTTAGCACCATGCTATGCACAGTTTAGTAATTCAAGTCTTTCGTGTTTTATTGATGCCTTCACTACAATTTGCTAGCACCTACCGAATTTTAAGATGGGCTGCATTAAAAGAAGTAATATGTTGCTCTTATACAAGCTGAAGCCCATTGGAACAAGACCGATGGCTTACTTACTTCTAAAGAAATCCTCATTAGAACACTGACATTTGTTCAGATTCTAATTATAAAAGCTGACTCTCCTGTTCTTATCTGGAAAGGACATGATGAAACAAACCATTGTTTCTTCAGAACAAAAGAGGTGAGGATGAAGGGAACCTTATTGTATCATATGACTACCTTGAAGACTTCAGAAAATGCAAATATTTAATCAAAGCAGCAAGAAAAAAACACTGCCAGTGAGAGCCACAAGATGGGAGGGGTGTTAATTAAAGGGGGAGCACAAAGTTGGACTTTAGGTCTGTTATTACATTTAATGCTAAAACGTTGTACTGTGCATTCTAGGCTACAATCGATTTCTTGCTGCTTATTGTTGTAGGTCACAATGTATTTCTTGCTGAAATATATGTTACTATTTATTCACTGTGAAAAACCTAAACATAAATTTAGCCAAGAATACACACTGCCATGCTTTTCAGTATAAACCATGTTATATACAGTATATGATCAATGAGTGTTGAGACTTCTTTTTAACATTTATAACATTTATTGCATATGATCAACAGGGCTGACCTCCATACCAAACAAAATTCCTCCTGACACAAGGCTATTAGACCTCCAAAACAACAAAATAAAAGAAGTCAAGGAGAAAGATCTAGAGGGCCTTTCCTCTCTCTCAGTAAGTTCCTATGCTTAAAGCTTTCTCAAATAATAGTGTTATTAAACCATTTCAGTTTTCAGATACACACGTTAAAATGTACATTCTAGGCCTGCAGACTACTTAAAACTCCCCCAAAAATTGTTTTTCTGAAAGCAGAGATCCTGTAGATGCAGTTGGCAAAAACACTATGGTATCTAAAATTGGAGTTCAACTTTCAAATAATACACTCACCTCTCAAGGTACTTGTACTGTAAACTAATTATTCTCAAAGATCACAACAATGACTCGGAAGTTGGGTTTTCATTAGTTTCTAACAGCTTAGAAACACTTGCTGGCTGTTTACATTCGAAGATTGGCAGACTGCTGAGATCTGCTGTCACAGAAAAAAAATCTGAGATTTTAGTGCCTATTTTGTGAACTTTGAAACTTAATTTCTCTACAATGCCTATAGCTACAGAGGTGACTGAGGGCATATTTGATCAAAAATTTAAATATGTATTGTGCAATGCCTGGGCACAGGTACATTTTACACTAGTTTCACACAGAGTTCAAATCTGACAATCTAAAGTTTTAAATAATATATTCGACAGGACAATTAGTGCAACAGAACACCAGACAAAATCTACAGTTTATCACAAGATTATTTTTTATACTAAAGCAGCAGTTAGTGTTTAACTTCTGCTGTGTTAACTGTGTTAGCATTAAGTGTATTCATTTGAACATTTATTTTATCATATGAATTTGATGCTCATGCAGGCTTTGTTTCTGAACAACAACAAGCTGTACAAGATTGATCCAAAAGCATTCCAGTCTACAAACAAGCTTCGCAGACTGTACCTTTCACACAACCAGCTCACAGAGATCCCTTCCAACCTTCCCAAATCTCTGGCAGAGTTAAGAATTCATGACAACAAAGTTAAGAAAGTACCAAAGGATTCTTTTAAAGGAATGGCATCCTTACATGTTTTAGGTAAGTGTGTCCCCCAAGCATGGTATAAAATGGCAGAAAATCATGAAATAACAAGACTTCACACTGTTTATACTAGCTTTTAAAAGTAATTGCACCTATAGGTATTGGTAAGATGCATAATCTTTGTTTTACTAACAATTCTGCTATTTATCTGAACCATTATGGACTTTTGCAACAGAACAAAACATAGTGAAATTAGAAGCACTTCATGATTTATAGCATGGATCTTTAAAATTAAATATTAAAGCATCCAAAATAGAATATTACTGTATTTCCAAGCTTCTCATTATTAATTTTTGCAAAAAGTAAAAAGCCTAGGAACTGAACTGTGAGTCATTTCAAGCAAAAACAGAAGCTCCACTTTAAAAAAAATATAAATGAAGGTCCCCGTGGATTGATAAATTCTTTAACTCAACTGTCTCCCGGCGGCTATGTCACATTTAATGCCTTCCTCTTAGCCTTACCGTTGAGTGCCTCCTCCACCAAATGATACGGTCTAGAACCCTCTTCTTCTCCTTTTCTTTTCTCCTTCCTCTATGCCCCTTGTATAAGGTTTTGTCCTCCTATGTCTCCCCATGTCATGTTTGTTACATTGTTGCTAGTATCACCATTCTACTGTCAGAACTATTGGGCCAAAAAGAATCAATTTCACAGGCCTAAACATGTCATTTTACAAATGTGTCTATGGGCATACTAGTAGCCATTTTGTCTATGTGCTATGAGGTGAATATAAGTTCATTTTCCTTAAACAAGAGATGGTCAGAGAAGGAGATCGGAATGTTAGTATAAACATGCCTCCGATCGTAAATTGTTGGGGTCTCAGAAGCACATCAAGTAAGACGGCGCTAGCCTGTATGGGGCTGGTTGATTACTTTCTTTGCCTCCCTACAAGAGATAAGAATTTCTAAAGAGTTTTTTTCTCTCTCTTTCTTAAATGAATAGACAAAGGGTAATTAAATGAAATGCTCCCAATTTTTACATAGAACAACAGTGTCCCCTGATGGTGATTGTAAGGGAAAAGTCTATAACCTTATTGGGCATTTGACGTCATGTTTCACGTCAGTAATCACGTGATAGATCAAACCAAGCCCACTCCGCAGGGGGGATATAGATCAGGAGCCCAGTTGAAGGGGGAAAAAAAATGTATCCTGATTTCTCTGACTGCTACTGCACTAGGTGAAGATGAGCCACATCTCATCTACCCTACACCACTCAGTATAAGGTCCTAATGTGTTACGACGAGAACCCTATAGGCTGGGGTCCTTCAAGGTTCAACTTTTGACAATAGCTTTATAGATTGTATAATATGGCTGATAAGTCCTACATTGTAACCTCGCCCTAAGGACTAAAGTTGTGTACCTCTACTACTGCGATACGTTTCATGCACCATGTGTTTAATGTGCTTGACCTGATTGCCACAGGTAAAAATCAATGCATATGGTGACCTGAAGGTGTTCTGTACACAGCCCCATAAATGTAATTTCTTGCTTCTGTAAGATTGGTTGGCTGATTTTGACAGATGTCTGCACTAAGATACAATAACATTTTAGGCATCCCGTGCAATGGAAATGTTATTTTTGACGACAATGGTGAGATACTTCCTAAGGGTTAATTACTTCAAAAGAGATGCAGATACTCCAGCTTTCCTCATCAGAACATAGAAAGTCTACCAGATGCCTTAAAAACAGCTTATCCTTCAAAACAGAAAAAGGTAGGAACAAAGTTTGTTAAAAGAAAGTTAACCTTTGCAGTGGGGCTACACCTGCACTGCAAGGGTTAACTGCTTGTTTTTCTCTAGGAGCTGGAATACTGAAGATATGCTCATCTGATCCTCAGTTTGCGGCAGTCAGCTCTCACCTCTTTCCCCTCAGCTCTGGCTGTGTTATGCCTCCCGGCATCCTCGTGTCTAATGCAGATGAATGCAACTACATTAGACGTGATGATGTCAGCGGGGCTTAGATCATAAGAGCCCAGGGGAGAAGAGGCTGCAAGGACCAGTCTAGCAGCCAGGTGGGATTATTAATCAGGTGAGCATATCTTCTTAGATCCAGCCCCTAGACCAAAACAAGCAAGGGTTAACTTTGTTCATGTCTGGAGTTCTTCTTTAAAAAGTCCTTGCAATGTACATTAATCACCCAGAGGGGACTCATTTTTTCTCTACCAAAGTGGAGTTACTTTTTAAGCACCTGTTGTTAAAGTTAGGTTCCCTGTAGGGCTTGATTTACTGCTACAGCACAAAGTTGCCTGTAACTACTTCCCCACTTTTAGCATTTTGGGATTTTTATATTGCTGCGTATTCTGGTATCAATTAAGTAGTTTTGTTACTTAGCTTTTTTTTAAACCCATCATAATAGAATTAGAATTTGTATACTCATGACTCAATGTGTTATGTTTAAACACAAGAAAAAGAATATCAGATGTTTCTACGTTTGCCAACCTGTACTAACATAAACATAATTGGACTGGCTGCTAAAGAAAACATCATTAATAAATCACTGCTGCCACCAGGGAGACTGGGCCTAACCCACTCACCTTTGCAGCAGGAAATTGCAGCTCTAACACTTTGCATTGTCCCACTGCACAAAGTAATTTTGGCCCTCAATAGTGTCTATTCGATTGTAGGTTTATCATCAAAGTAGGAAACACAAACAGTCAGACATCAAAACAGAAATATTAGGATAAAACTGGTTTGTGAAAACCTAGTGATCAATTTTGGCCCATGGAGTCTACTAACACTTTTACTAACACTTTCAGTGATATCTATTATTTGTGTCCAAAAGAATGAGAAGTTGAAAAAGATTTCTTAAATGCTCCAGCATTTCATTCAGCTGTTGGCTCCCAAACCCATTACAAAGTTTTTTTCCCCCATCCTCTGGTCTAGCACCCGTCTTGGGTCAGGTAGCTGAGTCAACTGCTGTTTCATCACTGTGGGTGCCCTCTTCCGTTCCTTATTCCTGGGTACCCCACCTCCGCCAAGGCTTCATGAATCAGTGCCATATTCAATTTCTGTTATTTCCAGGTAACTTTCCACCTGACAGGACAAAAGCCCTCTACATTATTTCCTTATTCTCTGAACAAGCATTGGCCATGGTATTTTCACTTCACAAAGAGTTTTTCAAAAAATTCAGGAAGGTTTTCAATGAACCCACCCATGATTTCTCTGTGATTTCTGAGACAATTCAGCCACAGCAAGGGTCTCATATGACCAAAGAGTATGCTAGATTCTTCTACATTTCAGCATCAGTGTTGGACTGAAATTGTAAGCCTTTGGTGGTAGTATATCTGTAAAAAAAAAATAAAGGCAACTGGGCTTGCTGTATTTTTCTTGAAGATGTTCCGCTGGTCATCTGACTAGGTTTCTCAATTCAGAATGAATTGTATAAAATTTATCTGGGAATACATATGGTGAATGTTGCTCCAATAAACATAATCATCAATTATGCAAATGCAATCAGCATCTTACCTTCATGAGGACTCTGACCCTATGCTGGTTATGTTTAACAGATTATGTTGATTGGAGTAACATTCACCTTATTTATTCGATGAGCATTTTTGTACAAGTTATTCTGAATTGAGTTGCCTTGGTTTATTTTTTTACAGATATACCATGACCTGGATGAATGAGAACCTTCACAGACATTTGGTGATGGTAGGTTAGGCTTATCGGACCACATTAAGGATACATTAGGCAGCTATGATATCCCTACTACCCAGGATGATCTTATTTACCTCTGCTATAAGGATGACAGGTTTCAGGAAATAACAACAGATTTAGTGATCCGTTTACCTGCCTCTAAATTTCCAGCATTCCCTGACTCTTCCTTAGGAACCTATGCAGGTCAATTAGCCAAACTCTCTCCACAAAATCACTCGCATTTCTTTCCTTTTTGTCTCAAGGTCAATAACTTTTCAGGATAAACTGCGCTGGAGTGCCACTGTCCTTTCAACACTGAATCCCTAAGATGTGTCCTGCTCATTTGCTGAGCCTCAACTACCTCAATTATATTAGGGTTCATGGATATCTTCAGTAAAAAAACAAGCCAAGACCTTACAGATTTACTGCCCTCATGTCATAAATATGCTCCCTGTTCCCCACCCTTCCATGGGGCCAGGTGTATCCCCTTTCTCTGCTTGAGGCTAACGCAATATTAGAATATATTAAAATGTTCCTGGAGTGGGGTTTGATTAGGTCACAATGTCATCAGTTGCAGCATTATTATTTTTTGTTGGCAAAAAAGATGGGTTCTATGTCCTTGTATTGAATACAGGGGATTAAACAAAATAACAGTAAAAAAGCAAGTGGCATCTGCTACTAATTTGGAAGCTGTTTGGTTGACTGCAGGTGCTTTGATCTACTCCGAGCTGGATTTGTAAGGGACCTACAACCTAATTTAAGGGGACCTACAATTGCATTAAGAAGGGTGATTGCTTTTAATACGCGGGATTGGTAATATGAAAATCTTATCATGTTCTTTGTCTTGTGTAATACCCCTGTAGAGTTTAATTTTTTGGCTTCTGTTATACTTAAACACCATCATATATTTAGACAGTCTCCTGATCTATTCTTAGGTTCTTCAGCCCCATCAGGCACATGTTAAGATGGTCCTAGAGTGCCTCCATCACAATGGACTGTATGCCAAGCTAGAGGAATGTCCTTTTGAGTAGTTCATATTCTTGGGAGATATGACCTCTGCAAAAGGTCTTCGTGTAAATCCTAGTAAGGTTTTAGCCGTTGGAGTTTGGCCACTCCCACAAAGCTTCAAGTCTATTCAGAGGTTGCTGAGCTTTGCCAAGTATTAATGGCAGTTTATCAAAGACTACTGCACTATTGTTGCACCTATCACCATCCTCACTAGGAAAGGTACAGATTGTAAGAACTGGTCTACAGAGGCCAAGAGTATTTTTCTCTCTGAAAGAAGCCTTTTCCTGTACTCCTGTCTTGCAGCACCCTGACACCTCAAGCCCACTTTTTCTTGAGGTAGATGCATCCACTTTAAGAGAGGGCCAGTTTTTTTCAACTGAACTCCTCTGGAAATCTTTCTCCTGGGGAGTTATTTCACTTCGGCAGGATAGGACTATATTCTGTTGGGGATTGGGGATTGGGGATTGCCTAGGTGAAGTTGCCCCTTGAGGAGTGGTCACTTTTTAGAAGGAACCATTTACCCAGTAACATTCTGTATGAACCACAAAAATGTACTTTACCTCCCCACAACTCAAATGGTGAATCTTTAACCGTTTTGTTGGGCCTAATGTTTTGCCACATTTGACTTTGTTTTCACATACCAGCCAGCAGACAACTATGTGAAAGTCAATTCTTTACACCACTAATTTAAGATGGAATGGCTTGCCCAAAGCCAGCTCATTATCGACCCTACCTGCATATTTCTTATATCTCCCCAGTGAAAATTAGCCAGATAACATCCAGTAAGGCCATTGTTCTAAAATAGAAATCCATCAAAATCTCCACTAGGAGATATTAAGATTTTTTTCCTACAATTATTGGTAGCCAATGCTAGAAAAATACATTTCTAAATTTGTTGCTGCTTGCCAATCCTCTGCTTAAATGTCATTTTTAGGCATTTATGCGCAGGCCCTTTATTTCCCCCTGCCTGTGCTAGAACAGTCGTGGTCACATATTCCCATGAATGGATTGAAGGATACACAGTATTTTTTTTTTCCACTTAAATGGCACACTGATTAACCTCTAAAAGTTTTCCCACCACACCTGGCTTGCTTAGAACTTTTTTCCAGGAGATTTTTCACCTGCATAAGCGCATCATTTTGGATAGAATTCACCTCCTTTTTTCAGCTTCTGGATATTCAGTCGATATTTTCATCATTATCTGCAGTCCAGTAGGCAAATAGAGATGGCTAACTAGATCATGCAGCAGTTCCTTTGCTTCTACATCTTGAACCAACAGGACAGCTGGGCAGATCTATGCCCATGGGCTGAATCTGTGCATGACAACCATGTTTCTGAAACTGTGGGCTGAATCTGTGCATAACAACTGGCCAAAACTCCTTTTTAACTATGGCAATTATCCTAGGATACCTACTCCTGTTTTCCCAACCTCTCATGTGTAATTAAATTGCAATAATATGCTGAAATCTGCATCTTATTTTTGTTTCGAACCTGAGCTCATCCCTAACCCTGACCTCTTGCTTGTCCAATTACTCTCAGCTATAGCCAGTGAGGGTTTATCAGAGAGCCACAACTGAAGAACCATTCTGAAGCAACATTCATTACTCTTTGTGGGGTGCACAGGTGAATACTGGGCTCTGTGTCTTGACAGGGCCTACATTTGTCTGGCAATGCAGACGGTCCAATTCCACCACAAGTTTTACTCTGAAACTGGGTTATTTCTGCAAAACATAATGATATTACCATTATATATCAGCTGGTGTGTCTACTATTTGTTTATATCTTCAATGTGCTCATGTTCTATCACCATACATTAGAACATTATCAAACTGTGAATTTAGGGTCCCTTCCCATCAATAAAATAGCAATGAAATGTGACAAGCAAATCAATAAGTAGTCACTTAAAATAAAAGCATATAAAAATTAGATGTCAGTGAGATATAAAAAAAATATTGTAGAATATATGTTTTGCCAGCTAAACTGCAGTTTTATTGCAACTTCCTTATATGTGCATTGTTCAAAGTTAAAGGTCAGTTTTATCAGGCACAGCAATTTATTAAATAAAATCAAGAAACATATGTGCTGCTTATTGGGAATTCTGGCAATCAATAAATAGCTTTCTTGGGCTATGTTACAGCAAAACTTTAGTCTGTTCCTCCCTAACTTCCTCCCATATCAGAGCTTGCCTTATTATTTACTATTCTGGCAGGCTCTCCTCTGTGTAAAGCTTTAAGCCTCATGCTGGGCAAGTTTTAGAATCAGGGCAGTGGACTGCACAATCGCTCCCATGGAGAGTTCCTGGCATAGCTGAGATTCTTGAATGTGAAGTTCTCTGCTGAGTGACATCACACACATGTTAGCACAAACCATCGCAATCCAAGGGTAGACTTTGATGGCACAGTCTTTTGAGCATCTAGGATGAAAGGCAAGCAGAAGGTTTAAAGATGGTGCCATATTGCCACACCCTTGACATATGGGTGTGGCAAAAGGATACTACTAATTTTAGCATACTAAGGGAAAAGTTGGCTCAATTAGTAAGAGTATTGTGCAGTTGAGTTTTGGCAGCTGTTTGATCCTTCTAGACTAGACTAGAGTTTTTTGGCGCCAGTGATTTTTCATCTAGACTAGAGTTTTGCTTTAACCTCCAAAATAGCTTAATAGTAATAAATTGATGCAAAACCTGTAATACAAAAATATATCTATTCAGCATTGCTAATGATAGAATTTATTTTGCAGAAATGAGTGCAAATCCGCTTGAAAATGAAGGAATTGAGCCAGGAGCATTTGAAGGATTGACAGTTTATCACATAAGAATTGCAGAAGCCAAACTTACATCTATCCCAAAAGGTTGGTAGCTGATTTCACATTGTAAGCAATATGTGAACATATTTTAAACCTGTGTTATTTTACTTCCAATCACTAGAGGGCGATATACATATAAAAGCCACGAGCTGCAATTTGTCTAAACACAAGGCACACAATGGACTTGTGTCTTTTTTTCAAGCTGACTAACTATCTAACTATGTATCTCCAATAGTGAGGTGCTAATAATTCACCAGCTTTTGAAAATGCCACCGTTTTTATGCTATTGAAATGCAAACTTTTATCATGCTGTTTTAAAAATAATATTGTAAATAGGAAATACTCTAAGTGTATGCATAGCCAAAACCTTTATTCTTAGTTCCTACATGGCAGCACACATAATGTTGGTGGCTCCACCCCCCCAAACTAATGGTGTATTTTGGTTTAGGGCTACCCTAGGCAAGACGAAACCCCCCACACTAAATTTTACCTGCAAAGTCCCGTTTTTTACTTTATGCGTGACCTGTCAGTCGCTGGATACAGCGCACATGCTATATCCAGCTTTTGAATGTTCCGCTATTAGCGTAGCAGGAAAGCTGGTGTCTCAGGTGGGCTCTGCAGGGTCTCAGGTGGGCTGTGCAGGGTTTCAGGGGAAATGTGCACGGTCTGTGGTAGGCTCGACAGAGCCTACCATAGATCCTGCACAGCCCCCCTGAGACCCTGTGGAGCCCACCATAGACCTCACAGAGCCTAACACAGATCCTGAAAGCCCCCCTGAGACCCTGCAGAGCCCACCACAGATCCTGCAGAGCCCAACATAGACTGCGGCTCCTCCTCGCCGCCTTTGCTTCCTCGATTAAGCAGCCGAGGTTGCTGAATTCTGTGCAGCCCGGCTTGCCCAACTGTTTTGGGGCGGCATTTTTGTTGGAAAAGTGCTGCCCAGGGCAAATGCCTTGTTTGCCTCGCATACGTCCCTGCTCCAACCAACAGGATCAGCAAGCTATAAACTTTGAGAGTTAGGCTAGGCCATCAGGCCATCAATTTTGTCTGCCTTCATACTCCAGGACAATTGTGTATAATTCCTGGGGTCAGCAAAGTACCAGATGACTTCCTTGTAGTGGAGGAATGGGGTTTGCTGTAGATGAAGCTACAATAAGCTATATACCCTGACCACTCATACAGAAGCAAACACTACAGTGCACTGTTTTTGGTTTTTATATATATAAAATAGTGTTTGATTTTTATGAAACATGAGATGCAATGTCAGGTACATAATGATCGCAATACGTTGTTGTCCTATAGCAGTGCACACCCGGATGGACTGAGGGATTTATTGCCTATCTCTCAGTTCATTCAGGTTATGCGCATTTGCTCTGATGCCATTGATTGTGAAACACAATTACAAAAGATGTCTGATAAATTTAGGGACAGAGGTTACCCTGAACATATACTTAGACATACTCTGGAAGTGGCCAGGGATAGGTTTAGTACCCCTAGACCCAATGTATGTCCAATAAAAAGGACTTATTTAAATCAATCTGAGTGCTGGTAACCTATTCTTTCTACTAGGTACATAATTAAAAAATCTCACATATGTGGTATCCTCATACTCAGGAGTAGCAGCAAAATGTGTTTTTCAATGTAAATCTAAGAATCTCCATGCTGCGTGTGAGAAATTTCTTATTAATTGTGTGAAAGTTGTGTAGAAACAGAGGGGATGCGTTCATGTATCCCCTCCTGATCGGACGGTCTGAAAGGGGCCTTTAGAAGCAGATAACTTGCAAAGGGAACACTATTATCACACTTCAGCCCTTCAACAAAAAATGTAGTCAATAATGAAAACTATAATACAACACGAAGGGGTTGATTTACTAAAGACGAATAGGCTGTTCACCTTGCAGGGGAAGCTTCCACTTAGCTTAGTGAATGTGGTGGATGATTCCCCACGAATATCACTGATAGTGCAGTCAATTAAAATGAAAAAGGACCTCTTATGCAAAATCTATACCCACCTAATATCAGCCATACAGACAAAATACAACCTATGGTACACAAAAGAGTTGGATAAGGACATAGACTATCTAACACAAGAGCAATGGAGGACAATAGAGAACATCCCTGAAGTCTCACTATTACCCTCACACAAACAAACACAGCTCTTTATCCTCCATAGATTATATTACATCCCACAAAACTATTTACTTGGGGATAAACTGACTCTCCAGATGTGGACAAAACTGGGCCACCTTATTACATGATGTGGAGATATCCCTACTGATTCTGTTACTGGAATATGTTAATAAAGCCCAATACAGTTCTACACTGGATAGACTATTGCTTTTAAAAAGTCTTTTTGAAATAACAAAATTATATTATGAATATATTATGAATAAAGACGCATAGTTGTAAATAAAGAGTTTTATTTTAATTACTTTATTTAAAACTGAAGACACAAACTTAAAACAAAACCTGTGTATTTTCAATCAGGCAGAGTAAAATAAACCCAGTGAATTGCTTTATGCTGTATTCCGTGGTCTTACTTTCTATTATCACATACTACAAGCTTTCTGTATCTTGGTACCAAATCCTTTTTTTAGGCTGCGTTCACACCTGAGAATGAGCATTCTCAGGCAATGTTGGAGTCTTTTTATGTGTGCATTTTTGCACATTTATTCAGACATATTCAGGCTTAAGCAATTTTGTTTTAGCCAACAAAAAACTAGGTTCTAGAGGAAGTTGACGGTTGTTTCGAAACACACTAAGTTCCAGGTGCTTTCAAATATTTTCCCAGTGTTTTTCAGGCACTTCCAATGACGTTTATGGAGCCAAAAAGGTAGTGCTTTAAAAGTAGCTCATGTGCCTTTTTGAGCCTCAGACATCAAACTATGGGCGTCTGAACAGTCTTATGTGAACAGGCACAATTTTAAAGCATGGGATTTTGGTTACTGAACATTCTGAGCCTCAAGCTACGAAATGCTCATGTGTGAATCAGAGCTAGGGTACAGGAAGGAAGGTGGGAGAAGAAGGTTTCCTTTATTTTTATGTTTGTTAAGTGTAGAAAACCTTTGATTAAAAAAAAAAGGACTGATGAGTATTGATGAGTAAGTTTTCCATTCCAGCTAAAAAGAGTGGTTTCAATTTCTATACAGGCTTGCCATCATCTATCTATGAGCTTCATCTTGATCACAATAAAATATCATCCATAGAACAGGAGGACCTCATACGTTACAAACAACTTCAGAGGTAACATCAAATATTATTTTTGGAACTTTCCTGTTTTTTCTTTCAGTGCATAAATTGATGTTTTATATCATTTTAAATAGATTTCAAAATCCTTCATTTTACAAATATTCATTTAATAAAAGGCGCACCCATAACACTACTTTTGTAGAGCATTCTGAATATTGGTTGCACACTTTCTGTTTCCATCTCATTTAAAATCCATACAAGGCCATATGCGCAAGGCAGAAAGGGAAGGACTTTGCCTTTCCTTTGACCTATTAAAGTGTATTTCCACTTTTGCAGTCAAATTTGCCTATATGTTTGTTATGTGAACCTATTGACATAGCATTAAACAAAACAATAAAAAAAAATATTTCTTATCTTTTTGATGTTTTGTTAACTACCTGCTGTCCGGCCGTTGTAATTAAACGGCCGGACAGCGGCTTCTTGAGGGCGGGTGGGCGTCTTTAGACGTCCTATCCTGTTCCCTAGGCGGCGGGCACGAGTGGGAAACCGACTTTGAATGTAAACAGCCAGCGATGGCTGTTTACATACAAGCATTCGGGCATCTGTAGAGACGCCCGATCGCTTGTAATATGCGGTCGGGTGTGCGGGCCCCCCGTCGCCACCGCTGCTGGCGATCCCGGGCTCTGCTGTTCCCGGTGTGAGCCCGGGACCAGCACAGCAGCTCTGTGGCCGGAGATCAAACGGAGCTCAATACTCGAGCTCCGTTTGATCTCCTCTCCTCTTCTGAATGCCGGCAGTGATGTGTATTACATCACTGCCGGCATTCAGTGTCACTATCCGGTACAGAAACCGGAGAGAAGCTGGTGAAGCAGATCAGTGCTTCATCAGCTTCTCTGGGTGTCCCTAGGTGACATTGGGGGTCTTAAAGACCCCTGATGTCTCCATAAAGAGGACCTGTCACTGAAAATTGGCTATCACATAGGGAGCTTGTTTGCTCCCTAAGTGATAGCAATAAAGTTCAGTGAAAAAATTAAAAATCCCATATCAAAGCAATAAAAAAATAATTAAAGTCCCCCACCTCCACATGCACACGCAAACATGCGTCAAGCACGCCTACATGGAAAAACGCCGATTACATCCATTGCGCCGCACATGTTACATATCGCCGCGAACTTCGGAATGAGAGCAATAATTCTAGGGTCATCAATCACTGATAACACTAAACTGATGAGCGGTAAAAGCTTTTAAAGCGTCGGCTATGGTCAATTTTGAGTATGGTGTTTTTTTGCGATTTAACGGGTGCGCGCAATTTTAAAGCTTGACATATTTGGTGTCTATTTTACCAAAAAATTGGGTAATAATAAATGTTTTATAGGGAGAACAGTTTTTTTATTATACAGTAAAAAAAAAAAAATCCGTAGTGGTGATTGAATACTACCAAAAGAAAGCTCTAGCTGTCCCCAAAAAAATGGTATAAAATTAATTTCAGTACAGCGTTGCATGACGGAATAAATGTCAGTCAAAGTACCGCAGCGCTGAATAGTGAAAAATGGCCTGGTCAGGAAGGGGGTATAAACATCCCGGTCAACAAGTGGTTAAAGCAGGTAAGATGGACGATTCCAGGTTTTTCTCAGCACCTTTACATTGATCTGTCCTACTGTACAGGCTTAGGACTGAAATATGAGCCTTCTGTTTCTCTCATTCACCTAATTAACATACAATGGACAAACCACCGTAGACCTCTCACTCCTCACAGTCTCTCCTAACATTGCAAAGAAAGATAAGAAAGTAGAAATGTTAGCCATTAAAACCCTAACCCAAGAAAAAAGCAGTTTAAACTGCAAGAAGCATTTTTTTTTTAACCTTATGCTATGTGAATGAGAACATGTAACAAATGTAAAATAGGTGTTAACCCAATTTGGTTGCAAAATTGGAAATACACTTTAAGCAGTAGGTGTTATTTCAGCACCAGCTACGGAAGGCTACTCTCCGAGCAGGCTTTTTGTACAAAAAGGAATAGCTCAGAGCTTCAAATGCTAAAAATTAATTATTCGCTTGCAATACTTCATATTTTCCTGACTAAAAAAAGTATTTGTTCATTTATTTTTTTAATTCTTAAACTTAACAAACAAACAAAAAACATACTATATTTTCCTGTTAAATACAGGAAATATTTCCTGGTTATGGGCACTGCCAAGGACTGATGAGTTCACCTTTTAACATACATATCTGCTGTCTGTGTAAATAGATTTCTATACTTTTGTAGATATCAATCGTTTTGAACATGATGCATTGGAATGATTGTATGAGTTTTAATTTTAGCGCCAGCTGATGCTAAGTTACAGACATTTGGACATAGTTGCTGTGAACTAGTGGGTCCAGTACTGATTTGAAGTCACAGTAAATATGCTGTTCTACAATGAATTATTATCAGTATTCACTTTAGCACATAAATGTTGAATGCTAAACAAACAATTCATAGGGTTCATTTCTCTAGTCTTAACAACTTTTTTTCCCATCATAGACAATTTCAGTAATGAGAAAATAACAATTATATGGTTAACAATAACAATTGTTTGGAAATCACATGTTTTAGTTCTTTGTAAAATTTGTTTAAAGTCTGCTGATTACATGCAAGTTCAGACAGTACTTTTTGTTAGTTTTGGATAGAATGAAGAACATTAGGAACTTATGCTTGGCTTTACTTGATGTTCTAGACAGGAAGTGAGAGAAATCCTTCATAACAGCAACACAGACAGCAAGCAATTAATGAGGTAGATGTGGAGTGGTTTCTCACGTAGGCAGCTGGGTTACTGTAGCTAGAGTGACTGGTAGAGCATCTTTAAAAAAAAAGTGAGGGCAAAGATATGGGGATGGAAAACTCATAGATGACAGCCATAGATGTTACTGCTCCCAATAACATATTTAGTAGGGAGGGTGATGGTAATGCAGATAGTCCTAGACAATTGTTTGACATAGCAGATTATCTTATGATGACTGGTAGGATAATTATTGTCACCAGGATCTCCTCAACTGAGTGGTTTGATGTCTCCCTGGAGCCAGGGTTCAGGGGATGTTGTGTGAGGTCCAAGCGAGGTGTGCTGAATCACTGGAATGGCTGGAGGAGAAAAGGAGGTGGAAAAGAGTGGAGGAGGAAATGTGGAAGAGAGAGAGGGGATGTGGAGTGAACTGTTGAACTGCCAGAGTGAGGAAGAAAGACTGAGGGCTTGCTCACACCAATTGCGGAGCGTTCCAGAGCAGTAGCTGCTGGAACGCACAGCAATCACTCACTAAACTTCCCCCTTCGTTCTGGAGTGGGAAGGGGAGTGGCAGTGCATTGAAGTCAATGGCACAGCAGCCACGCCCCCCACACGCAGTGCGATCGAACGGGTGGCAAAAAATTACCTGCTTTCCGTTCCACTGTGAATGCAAAAAATACTCCACGCGTCCGATCGCACTGCGGGTAGTGGCATGCCATTGACTCTAATGCACCTCCATTTTTTATTTAATTTAAGATATAATCAACAAGTCCATCCTGGATAGGAAAAAACACTTCATTTTAGGAGAGCCAAGTTTCCAGTACTGACTTGGAGGAAATATCAATGCAAAATGTTTTCCCATGGACAATAAGTTTAAAGGGCTAAAAATAAAACTCCTGTGGATCACTTACAATGTTTTACAAAAAACATAAACAATAAGAAAAGGGCATGTTAAAAAAAATATAAAACCAAAGGAACACTTTCATCATTTGAAAGTTAAAAGAATACAATAAAAGCTCTAAGAAGGAAACCAGAATGGCAAAAATCCAAAACAAATGGCGGGTTGCCAAAGACAGTAACTACAAGCAGTAAAAAATAAATAAATGAAAAGGCTGTTTTTTTAATTGCTCTAAAGAATGCATTGATCTGAAGGGACTGTTGTGTTCATAGCTGTATTGTATAATTAGTGCCTATAATCTTGGATGTAAGGCATTGCTGATCTATGTAAAATCGCATCATGTGGCTGTGTCCTCTTTTTAACTGTATTGCAGTTGTTGTGGAGAGGGCCAATGTAATTGCAGACAGGGGTGTGTGTGTGTGTGTGTTAATCACTTACAAAGGATATTGCATCTTGATGTTTAAAAGTTTTACCTTCCTGCAGAATCTGGTGCTCAGAGCATTGGTGATTATATCCTCTTTTAGGGTGTCCCCTTTCCCTTGCAGAGTCCTATGGAGCCACTTTTTTGTGTGCTAGTAAGCTGTGTGTGTCTAAACAAACACACAGGCGTCGCAGGGCAATCCCCTGCCCTGCTCCCCCCTCCTCCTTCCTCCCTCCTCCCTTCTACAAGAGAGTTGGAGCTGTTTGGAAACATGACTGTAAGTGCTCAGGGGAAATTATAAAGAAACACCTTGCTGCGCAACATATATTTCTTTGATCTGGATTCATTATTGAAAAAAGTTTGAGTGTTTAATACTACGTTAAGATGAATAAATGTCACCAGCACACCACCAATATTGCAGTCCAAAGAGTTTCTTTATTGGAACGTCATGTCATCAAAACTAGCGCTTTCGGGGCCACGCAGGGTCACCTTCATCAGGCTCAGCAATGGCTGTCAATGGCTGCAGTCCAAAGAGTTTGTTCATTGGAACGCATGTCACCAAAACTAGCCACGCAGGGTCACCTTCATCAGGCTCAGCAATGGCTGTCAATGGCTGCAGTCCAAAGAGTTTGTTCATTGGAACGCATGTCACCAAAACTAGCCACGCAGGGTCACCTTCATCAGGCTCAGCAATGGCTGTCATTGGCTGCCATTGGCTGCAGTCCAATGGCTGTCAATGGCTGCAGTCCAAAGAGTTTGTTTTTTTGGAACGTCATGTCACCAATTGCTGGTGACATTTATTCATCTTTATACTGTGTGGTGGCGCCATCCGCAGGTCACTACAAGCAACCCCCCCCCTATTCAACTTTGTGTTTTTCCGGTAAGGAGTGCGACAAGGTATCTTTTTGTTTGTCTAATACTACTTTAAGTCACCACACACTTTACAACCTGACTCTACAATCTTTGTACAATCAAA